GGAGCGTGGTGTGAGGTTCCCGGGAAGCTAATGCCGCTCGTTGCGCCGCCAGGACCCCGCTGCACGCCGCAGCCTTTGCGGACCACGTGGAGGGCCTGCAGCTCCTGCTGAGACACAGCGCCCAGGTGAACGCGGCCGACGACGCGGGCAAGACGGCGCTGAGGATGGCCGCGGAGAACGGGCAGGCGGGCGCCGTGGGTACGTGCCCGAGGGGGGACTGCCCGTCCAACACCAACGGCATGGGCAAGCAAAAAGCCGTTGGTCTCTTGCTATATACCCATAAAAAGACCAACATTTTACCGAAGCCACCGGCTCCACTCGCTCATTGTCCACAGTCCCGCTACTGGCTGGTCGGTGGGCCTGATCCAAGTGAGCCAGCCTCTCAGCAGGGAAATCTCTTGACGTTGAGAAACCAGAGGCAACACAGAGTCATTGTCCCTGGGGATAAAGCTGTCAAACAATGGATGCTGGCAGGCCTTGGATTTGGCTAGAACATTGGTGGCCATAAGTGGTTCCTCTTTTTCTTAAACACATGAAATAGGATTATGTGAGCTGCACGCATTGAGATCTGTTATTGTTTCTGTAGTAACTTCCTGAAAGTGCGTTAATTGGCATGTAGTCTGAGTAGCTTTCTTTTGTTTTTTTATAGACATTCTGGTGAACAGCGCCCAGGCTGACCTGTCTGTGAAGGACAAGGACTTGAACACACCCTTGCATTTGGCGTGTAGTAAAGTATGTAAAGGAATATGACACACTGTTATTCGGTATCATAATAATGGTAATAATGATGATGATGATGATAAATACCACTTAATTCTACCTCAAAAGTGCGTATCATGGGCCCTAATTAAGAGGTTCATTTCCCCAGGATGTTGGCCCCTCTAAGCAGAGGTGGAGGAGGAAAAGCAAGGGCGTACCACACGGGTGGACGGGATGTGCTTTGCGTGGCATTGGCCACGTGCATGCTGGCTGCAGTGTGGCTTGATGCTGTCACTGTGTCTGTGGTACCACCTTTTGGTTATAAACGCACATTGGGACCTCAGATACATGGCTTCTAGAATATGAGCCTCTCCACTTGTTCTCATTTTGTTTCGTTGGAAGGCCTGGTAATAACACAGCCCAAATGCTCTCCTGTGAGGCAAGTCAGTGTGTTCGTGTGCAGGTATACCCTCTCCCTTCTTTCTGGTGCCTAGTCCAATGCAAAGAACACATTTGTGTGTGTGGTGTTTTGGTTTTTTTTTGTTTTGAAAAATAGCATTGTGTTCACTGCTTCAGCAAAAGATACATGGCACATAGGAATGTGATTTCACAGAAGCGGGATCATACTGCTTACAACCTGCTTTTGTTCCTGAGTCACATGTTATGAATAGCTTTCTTGTGTAGACATTTCATAATGTTTTCAAAGATGCATGGTACCCTCTACCTTAGGAATGTGCCACCCTTTATTCAGCCTACTCCCTCCCATTAGACATTTGCTTGTTTTCAAATACAAGCTACTCTACATAATAATAACTGTGGTGCAATGTTTTAGGAAGCCTTGTTTCTTTAAACTAAATGTCTAAATGTGAAATTTTTGAGCCTGGGCTATGAACATTTTAAAGTCCAAATTCCCCTAAAATGAAGTCTTAACTATTTACACTCCACCAGGAGTATATCAGAATGAAACCTCCGTGGATATTTCTAAAGTTATATTTAAGGGTCTCCTTTCTAAGGCATTGTGGTATGATGGCAGCTGACACCAGTGATGGTGTTTATTTCAGTACTAGAGGTCTGGTGCACGAAAATCATGCACTGGAGGGTGGAGAGTGTCCCTCAGCCAGGCCTGTGACCTCCTGCAGTTCAGGAACCCTTGGAGGATGTCCGCCTGCTGGCTTAGGTTCTCTCCCCCCCACCCCCTGGGATTGGGCCTAAGCCGGAAGTCAGACATTTCTCTCGCAGTTTGGGGCTCTCAGAGTGCAGTTCCCTTCACTTCTTACTGCCCGCCTGCAGCGGAGGTAGGAGAGACTCCTGCCAACGCCTAAGCCGGAAGTCAGACATCCCTCTCGCAGTTTGGGGCTCTCAGAGTGCGGTTCCCTTCACTTCTTACTGCCCGCCTGTAGCGGAGGCAGGAGAGGCTTCTGCCACCGCTGCTGTGCTCGCCAGCCATGAGCCCGGCTTCTGGTTGAGCAGGCTCCCCCTGTGGGAGCGCAGGGGGCAGCTCCTGTGTTGAGCGTCTGCCCCCTGGTGGTCAGTGCGCATCATAGCGACCGGTCGTTCAGCCATTAGGTCAATTTACATTATTAGGGTTTTATTCTATAGGATAGTTCCAGCATTAAAGGTGTTATCTGTATTCAGCGGCACCAGCAGTCTCAGCTGTTCCTCTCATCAGTTGCATTTTCTCACTTCATGTTCAGGGTGTCCCAGGGAAACCACAAAAAGTGCTCCGTTTCATCAAATGTGTTTCAAGGTGTGGTTTTCATGACTATAAATGCAATGCTTTTCAAACGTTATTGTGCCATTGAATCACCTGAGGATATTGTTAAAATTCAGCTTCTGATTTAGGAGGGCGGGAGTGGGGCCTGAGATTTCACGTCGCTAAGTGCCAGGTGATGCTAATGTTGATGCTTCGGGTCACAGGGGCTCAGGAAGCCAGCACCTTCACGGAGCGCAGGCCTGAAACCGTGGAAGCGCCTCTGACGGATCCATTAAAATTACCGACTGTTGTCAGAAGGTGCAGAGATCATTTCCCCTGGCTGAGGAGGAGATGAATAGCCTTTCTTGAAAAAGAATCTTTTCACAATATAAGGCAGTAACCGACGAGTGACACAGATAATAGGCGACATGCGAGCTTCAAGGATAAATGGATCAAGGAAGTGGTCAATCATGAAGACTTGAGGAAGGAGATAGGACTTGACTTACATTTAAAAAGTGATGTTAAAGGATACTTCTAATTCTCCTCCCTGTTTACCACCTGCCCTGGCTGAATTCGTATCTGTTTCAGCTCCCTGGACATTAGTTCTAAAACTTATCTTGAAATGTTAGTATTTCAGATCAGATTTATATAACCAAGTCCTAGTGGGACCTCATTTGGAATCTTGGAGAATCTAGGGTCCTGGGGCTCTTTGCTTTTTAGAAGAAAAAGGAATTACTCAGATGATGGCCTTATAACATGTATACAGGCAGAGGACATTCGTTTCACATTTAAAGCCCAATGAAGTGATTGTTCTGGAACTTTTCTAAGTCTCCATCCTCAGTCTCTGATCATTTTCTTTTTCTTCCCTAGGGTCATGAAAAATGTGCCTTGTTAATACTTGACAAGATACAAGACGAGAGCCTTATTAATGCCAAAAACAGTGCACTGCAGACGTAAGTGTGATGGCTAGAGCTGGACTCGGACCCAAATTCCTAGTCATTTATTCACCACATGTGAAGAGCTAGCTCTGTGCCAGGCTGGAGCTGGGACACAGTAGTGAAAGCACAGAACCGCTTCTCCTTCGTGAAGTTTAGTCACACACCTGCAGCTCTGACCCAGCTAGACAGTTTCCGTTAGAACCTGCATTTTGATATGCCAGCATAGAGATGTGTGAGGTCTGTGTTTTCCTTTGCTGATATTTCTATGGTAATATTATAAATGTACTGGGCGATTAGAAAACGTATGGGCTGACCTATTTGGGAAATATTTGTATACTGGCAAATGTATTAGCATTATGTATTCTTCCTAGAAAATGACAGTTTTATAAATTAGGTTCCCAGAATATATTTGAAGAGTTTCTAAGCAATTTGTCTTAATTACATTTTAATGTAATTCAGTGTTATCCTCAGTGTGAAAAACTTAAAAGCTGCTTTAGCCATGTGGATCAGTTGGTTAGAGCATCATCCCATACACCAAAAGGTTGTGGGTTCGATTTCCAGTCAGGGCACAGGTTGCAGGGTCGATCCCCGGTTGGGGTGCATACAGAAGGCAACCAGTTGATGTTTCTTCCTATCTCTCTTCTTCTTCTTTGTAAAATCAATTAAAAGATAAGCATACCCTCAGGTGAGGACTAAACATAATAAATAAATAAATAAATAAATAAAAGCTGTTTTATTTTCTATTTTAGGAAATTATGTATTTGTTTTAAAGGGCAAAGAATATTAGCATTTTTCATTAAAATTCTTAAGGAATAGATAGCAGAATATACTAACTCTGACATTGTTCTTTAAGATGTTCTAAATTCAGTAAAATATCACTTAGTAATAACAAAGAGGTTTGAGATTATATATATGAGTGATATTAGTCATATTGATGAACTGGGTGAAACAGTGATTCAAATGCAAGTGTACAGCTCAAGGGTTAAAGAACCTTCTAGAAATTCACCAGACCTTAAGCTCTTCTGTCTTCCTGTTTACTGTCATTGAGGTTGTTTGAGATGCAGAGTATTTGTGATATCTGCAGAGAAATCTGGGCCAACTTGGAAGGACTGTTGGGTCATTAGCACCTGGAAAAGACCTGGTCAGCAAATCTCTTTTTCCCCCCAGTAAAAATGTTCAGAGGCTATTTATGGATTCTTACATACTTGCTGCCTCTTAACAATGCAGGCTGCCCGAATGGCGCATCTCACACAAACGCGTATCCCGCCTGACGCCCTGTGTTCTTCCTCAGGCCCCTGCACGTCGCTGCGCGCAATGGCCTGAAGGCCGTGGTGGAGGAGCTGCTGGCCAAAGGGGCCTGCGTCCTCGCCGTCGATGAGAACGGTGAGTGGGAAAAGGACACGATCACGGCAGGTGCCTTCCCTGTGAGCCAGAGGACAGGAGGGATGTAGGAGCTAGTTAAAGAGGCAGTAGGAACCCTCTCCCTTCGGAGCCCCCAGTGTGTGAGAAATCAGCAAGGATGCTGTGTCCTGTCTGTCTTCGTTCAAGTGCAGTCACCCTGTAGCCACCACTGCCTCCCATTCTGCATGTGACGTCAGCAGCAAGGGTCGCTGGCTCCTCAGCGTGGCGGTTAAAATGCCCGAGACACACGGACGAGCTTGCACCTTGGCATTCGCCGTGCTGACCGCACACACTGAAGAGTGAGGGATTCCCCATCATCCATGCATGCTCAAGGGCTCGCATCAACACCAGGTCTCTGTGTTCCAGTCCATTCTGAGATCAAACCTTTTTCTTTTCTTTTTGAGAACAGACCAGAACGCATATTCCCAGGATGGCTATTTGGGGAATGTGAATAAGAATTTTAAATTCATGTCTAGGCCTGACACTTCTCTTGATCTAGATGACATCCCTTTTCTGAATGAACTAACTCTTAACAGCAGCTTTCTCCTCTGCTTCCTACGAAATTGTGAACCCTAGGATTGGATTAGATGCCATTCGAAGCACAATGCCTATTAGCCTTGGGGAGCAGGCCCGGGACTTGTGGATATTTACTAATTAAGTAACTTTTCAAAATGTGGCATGAATCATGGCATTTATTTAACGTCGTATAATAAAATGCATTAACGTAACTCAATTAACTGCTTATTACAGGTATTGGAATTAGCAGCTCATGCCCATTGCTCAGAAGTAAGCAGCCCTATGGCGTCATTAGCTATAACTCCTGTTAGTTTGGTTTTGCAGCCCCATTTCCCCTAGCATGTTCCCTGCCCCAATTCATCTAGGAGATGCAGAAAGTTCGCTATTACTCCATCCGTCTGGTTTTCCTGCCTCCCCTTCCCTCACCCTCTACTCACCGTTGTAGACTTTGGGGCTGGTGTGCAGAGGCCCACGGCTTTTCTCCACAATGACCAGAGACCAGAACACACAGTTTTCGCTTCTCTGGTGTATAAGTCTGCTACACCCGAGGCTCATCCAGCCCTTACGGACCTTGGGCCAGTGGGACTGTGGCTTGTCTCGGAGCTTAGCTGCATCCCAAAGACCTGGGAACATCTGGGGCGCGTTAGTACAGCCCCACAATCCTATTCCTTGACTCACCACAGACCTTCGTGCAGAGGACGTTAAGATATCCGTCCATTCTTGTTTGTTTTCACACCAGAGAAGGAATAATCTGTTAATAGGGGCGAGGAGGAGGAAGCAGAAATGAGGTCAAGCGCTGATAAACAACAAAAAGTTTGGTTTTATTGAGCCGGTTCCTCTGGAGTAAATGAGCGAGAGGTAGTGGCAACTCCGGCCAGCAGAGAGGACAGGATGCCCTGGAACCAAAGCGGACTAAGGCAGCCATAATGACATCCACGAGTATCTATTTCCCTGCGCACCCGTTTCGTGCTCTGAGCTCACTCTCCCCTCCGGACGGCAGCCATCCAGCCTAAATGGTAGAGCAGGGCACGACTATGCCAACCATCGTGATTTCCCCACCTCGGCTGCCTTTAGGTTGGCAATGTTGCTATTTTTTAAAATTCTGTTAAGTTTTTTTTTTTTTAAATGATGATACATGTTCAACAACAAATGACCAGTGCCTGCCTGTTTCTGACCTCCTCACATGATTCCGTTTTTCTAGAGCCAGTTAATTGTAGGATCTGACACACAACCACCTACAATGGAAAGCCATTGTTCTCAGAATGAGCGTGCTCCGGCCCCGGCCGAGGCCCATGGTGTGAGTGTGTGTGCTCGCCCAGTGGGAGCCCCTTCCTGGCTGTCCCGTGGCTGTTTTTTTGTGGAATTGTGTCCCCCGCCCCACCCCTCCTCGTGTTTCCATTCACTAGACAAAGACTGGAATTCTGCCTAATTTTGGATAATATAGTGCTTGTCGTTGTCACGTAAGCTGAAAAGGATCCCCCAACCCTCCCGAGAATGCCTCCCCTCCAGGCCCCTCTCACCTCGCCCCTAGCATGCCCTGTGAGAAGTAACTCCTCCCTTTGCCTGCATGATTGCTAACTCAACATACATCTCCGTGGGAGGTCGGATGAGATGTACTGTGGATGCTCGGACTAACCACTGCCTTGTCTGCATTTACGCCCAGGTCATACCCCGGCCCTGGCTTGCGCTCCTAACAAAGACGTGGCTGACTGCCTGGCCCTCATTTTGGCTACCATGATGCCTTTTTCTCCTTCCAGTACAATGACGGCTGTCAACTTGGTTTGTTTTAAAAAAGACAATTTGAACAGGACGACCCTCTCCAACCTGGGTAGCATGGTTAGCCTGTGCAGTAACAACGTAGGCTCGGAGGATGGGTACAATGAGAACGACTCTGATTCGGAAACCTTTTGACCTTGGACTGTAGACGTTTTCCCTTGATCGACCCTGTTGGAGGAAGGGGAAGAAGCTCGGATTCCAGGTTTAGGTCGTGTTCCAGTGTTATTATGGGCCCGAGCTACCAGAAGCCGGTAGAGAGGGGATTCATTCATCAGACTGAGGGAGGGCAGCTAGGCCGGAGGACCAAGCACTCACATGGATGGGCCCTGCTTTTGATCTGTCTCATGCTTTCCTTAGCTCTAAGAGACTTCTGTGAAAGTCTACCTCTCATTTTAAAGAAGGAATTAAAAAAATGCATTTAATTCTTTCTCTTTGGGGATAATGCACTGAGAGGGAACTGTTGTCCCCTATAAAGGATAATTTTTTTGTTTGTTTGTTTTGTTCACATACTCACTTGGCAGTGAGTTGTCAGAAGTGCACCGTGCATGTCCCCAGGGGGGACGGGGAGGCAGGGGCAGATAGGAAAAGCCTCCAACCTCCTCTCCCTTTGCTGTTTACGTCCTCACTAGAACCCAAAGGTAAACGTGTTTCTCTCTGGAAATCATGCCTGTAGTCATCTTTCTAAGGGAGACTGATGATCCGTGTCCTCCCTAGAGTGAGCCCTTCAATAGCCAGGACTTCTTCCCGGGGCTCTTTGTTCAAATTGCCAAATGAAGGAGAAAAACTCATTGAAAACAGGACTTGCTTGTTTTTCCTTTAACACAAACACGGCGCCCACAGCTCCCCGTAATAAGCCTGTGGCTTATGTCCACCCGAGCGATGGCATCCAGGGCTGTCTGTTACCTGCCGGGGAAAGGCAGATTGCACCCACACCCGGAGGCCTATGCATTCATCCTTAGTGATTCATCCTTCGACAAAACAGTAACTTCTAAAGAACATTAGGACCATTGGCCTTGTTCATCGATAGTAAAATATTCCAGGAGCTTCTCAGTTGAGGTCGTGCCAAGTGAGGGCCAGTGTGGCTGCAGCAGGGGACAGAGAGAGGCAGAGCAGGTGGCAGGAGTGGGGGATGTGGAGAGGAGAGCCCGTGGTAGTTGCTCGCTGATGAAATCAACCTGGTGAACCCTGTGTCTGCTCCCTCTGCCAAAGCTTCTAGGTCCAACGGACCCCGCCCCGCCCCGGGAATAGCTGCACAAAAAGAAGAATGAGACTCTTCCAGAACCGTTCACACACACACGTGCACACACATGTATATAGTTCTGTCTGTATCTCATCAACCAGCTCCACAGAAGGACCAAAATGCTTCCGTCGAGAATGGAAGACTTCACTGGTTTTTCTCGCAGTGAAAGTGAGAACTGAAGTAGCTTTTCTATGGAGTTAAAATGGAATCTTTTTGCGGAAGAGTCTTTGTTGTATTTTATATTTCTTATGACAGAGATTTCCAGTGGATGGCTTACCATTTGTAACGGATGATGTGTTGACCACGGCTTAT